GGTTAAAGACAAAGACGAACCGAGGAAGAGATAGGGAACGATTTATAAGATCAATTGTTCCGACTGCCAAGCCTCCTACATCTAATAAGAACATTCTACTGACAACAATCATTCACTTGACTCTGATGATGACTTCCGTACATGTTGTCGGAACCGTCATTCACTACCACTGACAACACTCCTTCTCAGGACTACATTCACCCGGATGATCAGACTACACCTTCACAGATTATAAACAGAGAAAACTTATTCCCCATACATACCCCTGTTCCAATGATAATTTTTTTTTTTTTATGTAATTTTAGTGCACGTTCCAGCGGCGCGACTATTTTGAGAACAACATCTGATTGGTTAGTGGTTTTGTGGTGACATTTGATGTAGGATGTCTTGCGACCCACGGTTTGTGTTCATTAACGTAATATAAGTTTTTGGTGAAGACACTAAAAACGTAAGCCGAGAGAGCGTAATTTGTGAGCTCAACTCCAGAAGCCCGATTTTCATTAGCAGGGTTTGAATGGTTAAACTGGATATCTTGCAATTGCCTCACGGGTTATTGAATAAGTGGCAGTAGTGATTTCAAGCGCATCACAATACATTTTCCAATATACAGCAAGCGAGCCGGCTCAATCTTGACTATTTCTTAACTGTGGAAGCCAAGTGTCACTAGATGTTGGCCTCGAAGCCGTATTAACTATCCGACGTTTTACCTTTATAACTTGGTAGACGATGAATAGGAGCTGACTGTTGACAAGATCCCGTATGGTTGAAGGAAAATAAAAACATCAGGGGTAACTAACTGTTCATGATGGCGAGCTCCTCTGAGCGCAGGTGGCCCAAGCGTTCTGTGTATGATTTTGGGGTCCAATTAGAAAGGTCATTAAATGGAGTAACTAACATATTAAAATCGAAAATTAAGCGTAAGCATGGACCGTTCAAAAAAAGGGAAAAATTATAGCGGGGCTCCCACGCGCGTGGAGCAGAGCCCCATACCCATGGAATACGGTCAACCTCTTTTCGTTTGGTCGTCACGTGACCGAGCATACGTACGTACGTACGTACGTACATGCGTACGTGCGTGCTTCTGTCATGTATGCTATCACGAAAGTACTATATGATCAAATTTGAAAATGTGCAGTCCGCGCGGCCGACCCTCAAAATTTTCAGGTCGAAGTTTTTGTTCATTTGCGATCGAGTTAGACCGTGTGAAACTCAGAATGTAAAGTAACAATGCTATAGAATATTCTGCTTGGAAAAGAATGGATATCAAGGTCGTGAAGATGACAGAATAAGCTCTTGAGTCAACGACACTACGATTCTCTAAGGACCTGATTACATGAGCCGAGCTGGCCCGGTTAGCCGGGCTGATTTCTTTTGTTTTCACGCTTTGGCGAACACCAAAACAAAAGAAATCAGCCCGGCT